CAGGAACAGCAAAAACTACTGGCAGAGATGGAGGATCTCAAACTACTTCTGGATGAGCTCCATCGTCACATCATTGCTAATCCATCTGCAGGTGTTCTTCGGCAGATGGCGGGTCCATTGACAAACTTGTGCAAGGATGTGCAAGACCTCACCGAAAGGTTGCAACCGGGGAAAGGGTCAATTGGAAACTCAAAAAAAGAGTGGAATGGTCAATAAGCAACAAAAAGAAGACAGATGAAGATGTCAAAAAGCTGGAGCAATTGAAAACCCTGATTAATTCTTGGTTAATACTGGACTTCCGGTATGTTGGGTTAATTCTTGTGCAGGTTTTCTTCTGATTTTATTGCTTCCAGGGATCAAATGGGTGGGAATTGCCAGGCTGTTTTGTTCATTCAGATGTTGAACATTTTTCAGCTGCTAAACGCAGTGCAATAATTGAATGGTTGTCCCCAATCAATTTCTTTGTTCGACAACAGGACATTTCCAAGAATTGACAGTCAGGAACCGGTGAATGGTTGCTTAATGACCCAAAGTTCAAGCAATGGAAATCAAGCACTGGAGGAATTCTGTGGTGCTCTGGAATACGTGTGTAACATCGGCATGTCATCAGTGTCTCAGCCTGAATAATGTGCATAGCTGGTGCTGGAAAGACTGTTCTTGCGTAGGTCCCCAATTCCACTGACTGATTTCCGCTCATGTATATGATTGTAGCTCTCTTGTGGTAGACCATCTAAGTGCCCTCCAAAGCAAGGATATTGGAGTGGCATGCATCTACTTCAACCACAAGGAGACTCAGGTCCAAACCCCAGACAATCTACTTGCAGGACTTTGGAGACAGCTTATCCCAAACCAACCTCTTGGTTCTGCTCATGAGCCGTATCAGAAACATGCTGAGAAGAAGACAAGGCCCTTGTACAAAGACGTTCAGGCACTTTTATCTTTGGCACTTCTCAGGTTCACCCAGGTTTATATTATTCTCGACGGGGTTGACGAATACCCTGAGAATCAGTGGACTTTACTAGCCCAGGATTTACGTGACCTGGGACGTCTCAACCTTTTGGTCCTGTCACGGCCCCATATTTCCCCACCTCAGCTGCTTCCAAATCCTATAACACTGGAGATACTGGCAAGCCAGATGGACATAGAGACATATGTGAAGGCACAGATCCGGTTGTCTGCTTGCTTGTCGCAGCATGTTCATAAGGAAACAGGGTTGAAGGAGGAAATTTGTTCAAAAATCAGTAATACTGTCCATGGAATGTAAGTGTTGTATTAATTGGAGGAAATCATTTAACCAGTCACCCTATCAGGTTCTTGCTTGCAAAGCTTCATGTTGATGCCTTGCACACAGCAACCAATACAAAGGAAGTCCGACAAGCTTTGGAAGATTTACCAACCGATTTGGACTACACGTATAGGAATATTGTTGACCGAATCAATACCCTTCCTCAAAACCGAAAAGAGCTTGCACCATCAGCACTTACCTGGGTTGTCAATGCAAAAAGACCTCTGACTAGTGTTGAATTATGTGAAGCTCTAGCCATTGAGCCAGAAACAAAAGAATTGAACAAGGACAATATCACTGAGATTGCTATCATTCTTTCTGTTTGTGCTGGTCTGATAATCATGGAAGAACACAGTTCTTTGGTCCGACTTGTCCACTTTACCACCCAGAAATATTTGGATGAAATCCAAACTAGGGAGCTTGCAAACCCACACCTCAAAATCACACAGAGCTTGCTAACATATATGCAATTTGAGCAATTCTCGTACAAAGAAGTCATTCCTCGGGACAATAGGCCACCTCTTCTTGAATATTGCCAGTACTGCTTGGTCCATGCTCAAATGTGGGAAGAGCAGTTGAGGGATACCATTATACAACTTTTAAAACAGGCCAAGACATACCAGGAACAGTGGTACCAGTATCCATGGGAATGGCAGTCTCCTCCATGGACATTTGCTTATTGGCCTGATTCTCCCTCATCTTTATGGATTGCAGCCTCGGTAAATATGGTGAAGATAGCAAGTTATCTCTTGGAATATGCTGGAGGATATGCTGACACTGAAGTGCTGGCTGTTGCGGCATATTATGGCCACGGCGATATATGCCAACTCCTCCTTGACAAAGGTTCAGATGTGAATTTACGTGGAAGGAATGATGAAACTGCACTCCACATAGCAGCCTATGAGGGCAATTCCGAGGTTGTTCAGATTCTTCTTGACAAAGGGGAGATGTGCATGCACAGGGAGGAGCGTATGGAAATGCACTCCAGGCAGGAGCTGTGGGAGGCCATTTCGAGATTGTTCAAATCCTTCTTGACAAAGGGGTAGATGTGAATGCACAGGGAGGATTCTATGGAAATGCACTCGAGGCAGCAGCCCCTGGAGGCCATCTCGAGATTGTTCAGATCCTTTGTGACAAAGGGACAGATGTGCATGCACAGGGAGGGCCCTTTGGAAATGCACTCCAGGCAGCAGCTGGGAGAGGCCATTCTGCGATTGCTCAGATCCTTCCGAACAAAGGGGCAGATGTGAATGCACAGAGAGGGGAGTATGGAAATGCACTCCAGGCAGCAGCTGTGGGAGGCCATTCCAAGATTGTTCAGATCCTTGACAAAGGGGCAGATGTGCATGCACATGGAGGCTTCTATGGAAATACACTCCAGGCAGCAGCGTGCGAAGGCCATCTCAAGCTTGTTCAGATCCTTCTTGACAAAGGTGCAGATGTGCATGCACAGGGAGAGTTCTATGGAACTGTGCTCCAGGCAGCAGCCTCTGGAGGCCACTCCGAGATTGTTCAGATCCTTCTTGACAAAGGGGCAGATGTGCATGCACAGGGAGGACAATATGGAAATGTACTCCAGGCAGCAGTCTACGACGGCCATCCCGAGATTGTTCAGATTCTTCTTGGTAAAGGGGCAGATGTGCATGCACAGGGAGGGGAACTTGGAAATGCACTCCAGGCAGCAGCCAATGGAGGCCATCTCGAGATTGTTCAGATCCTTCTTGACAAAGGGGCAGATGTGCATGCTCAGGGAGGAGAATATGGAACTGCACTCCAGGCAGCAGCCTATGGAGGCAATTTCAAGGTTGTTCGAATCCTTCTTGACAAAGGGGGAGATGTGCATGCACAGGGAGGATATTTTGGAAATGCACTCCAGGCAGCAGCTGAGGGAGGCCATTTCGAGATTGCTCGGATCCTTCTTGACAAAGGTGCAGATGTAATGCACAGGGAAGCTTCTATGGAAATACACTCCAGGCAGCAGCACAGGGAGGCCATTTCAAAATTGTTCAAATCCTTCTTGTCAACAGGGCAGATGTGCATGCACAAGGAGGAAACTATGGAACTGCACTCCAGGCAGCAGCTGCGAACAGCCATTCCAAAGTTGTTCAGATCCTTCTTGACAATGGTGCAGAGATGACTCCGCAGGGAGGAGATATGGCCATGTAGCCACTTAGGAAGCCGGTTGGATAACAATAGTCGTTTACATAGAATTCTGGCATATTCAAAGTCAAGTGTATGAAATACAACTCATGGTTTGACCTGACAGCCTGATAATTATGTGGAAAGTATGTGTAGTGTGCTGTTCTCCTCACTGACATTCCCTCCCAGCTCTGTTTCTGCCCCCCGGACAATGAGGTGTTTTACAAATACTTAAGTTCCTACCCAGCAGTCCTCGTGATGCTCATAACACTGGTTGAAAGATTTCAATTTTTCACGGAGCTTTACCAGTGAGAACAAGAGTGCGGTGCACTGTGCACCCCACCGCTTCGGTTCAAATTCAAGGGATAATGATGATGTTAATCTGGAAGAAGCTGTACAAGCTGTTAAGACCCGAAAGTTGCAAGGCTGTCAAGTTTCATGTACACAGCAAGTCTCGGCAAGTTTCGCCATACTCGGTATCACGAAGCCGAAATGTTTCTGGTGTGGTGCCGCCGTAACACATGATCCCATCGGCGGAGTCTAAAAGGCCTCGCACAGGCATGCACGTAATTTTATAAAGAGGGATAATGCTGTTTGTTTCACACCTATTTCTCCCCTGAAACAAAACTCACTATAAATCTTTCTATCCATGTAGTGTTGGAAAAGTTCGGTTCGACCTTTCGGTTCGAACTCGAACTGAACCGAACTGAACCCGAAGTTCAGGTTCAGGTTCAACCAAATGCCCGAACCTGAACCTGAGGCTCGGTTCAGAGTTCGGGCAAGTCCCAAGTGCCGCTGAACCGAACCGAACCTTGAACCGCAAGTACGCCTTTGGCCGCTCATTTCGGGCTTATTTGGGTGATTTTTCGCTGATTTCAACTTGCGGAAATTCAGTTACACCTGGCTGACACACCCTTCAAGCTTTCCGTGGGGATGGTGGTGGTTTGGAGGGGTTTGAAGAGCCATTTCTCGTTTGATATCGATCTGATGTGGCCTACCCGGTGAGCCCCGCGAAGCGAAAACAATGTTTGAACACCATTAGGGGACGCGGAAATTGTGGGGAACATACCTACATACTCACAGAAGCACCCTAAACTCACACCCAATTGATGTTGGGGGCAACTTGAGGTTATTCTATGGTGAGAAAGAAAAAAAAGTTCGAACGGGTTCGAACCTGAACCGAAGCATGTGCCAAAATCCACCTCAAAGTTGACTCTTTTTGTACACTCCGACCGCCAGACAGTGGTACTGTACACCACCTACCTAAATACCAGACATGCCCTTGTAGCTCAATGGCCAGAGCCGCCTCTTGTCTTGGATATTGAGGATCATCAGCGTTGTGAGGAAGATGTGGGTTCGACTCCCACGGGAATGCATTGTACATCATCTGCCGCCTTTTTTCGCTCGTTTTCGTTGAACGAAAACCTCATTCTTTTACTTGTCATAATTTACTGTGATCTCGCGTCTCGGCCTGGCCCCCCAACTGGTGTCGAGGATTTGAGAAAATATCAATGTTCGTTGAGGAAACGTAGCGAGTTGTTTATACTTCACTGGAATAGGATGCAATCTCAAACACGCCTTCGTAGCTCACCGGTCTGAGCCTCTACTTGCGATGAGCCGCTGTATCACATGTTATGTGGATGATGTGGGTTCGACTCCCAACGAGGGCATGCCTGCTTATTTGTGTTTTTTTTTGGTGTTTCTCGTACTTGCTTTCCCTTGTTTTCGAGGAATTTTCGAGGTTGGTTCGCTGGTTTGTACGTAAACTTAGAGGACTGAAGTGAGCTTAAGGCTATGAGAAGCTTAAGGAGAGGACGCGAGAGGAATGGAAGAGGTTTGTGACATTCGTTGAGTTTCAGCTTGAGATTCGCATTCACATTCGCACTTCTATCTATCGTACACCCCTCACTCCTTCCAACACCCTCTCTTCCCACCGTTCCCACCCATCTCTCCTACACTCTTTTCCCCTCGGCAAAGCGATACAACATGGCGTAAGTAATGGGAGCAGTGGTTAGAACATGCTGCCTTCGGGCGGCTGGGGGAGCTTGCGGTTTGCGGGGGAGGCCATTTCTCTGTATATATATATGTTAGCGCGTGCGCGGAATACCAGATAGCGCGACAGATGGTGTGTTTCAGAGGCATGGGAGGATGGGTTGGGGGAGAAGGGGAAGGGAACAGGATAGGGAAACGCGCAAGGAAGGAGGGGATGGAAGGAAGTATAGGGAGGTAAGTGGAGGGGCAGCATGATAACCAGAAAGATGTAGGACGCGGAAGGAAACGCGCCGCGGTGGTGAAGAAAATCCGACCCAAAATAAATACAGTCAAGGAATAAGAGGAAGGAAGGAACGTACTTCCGCATCTCGACCACCACATGTTCGATGATGCTTGCGCGCGTCCAGGAGGCGAGGACGGAGAGGCGGAGGGGGCCGACGGTGCCGGTTGTGGCGGAGACGAAGGGGGGTTTACGCGGGAGACGAACTGGGTGGCTGTATCCTGTATCATTTGCAGAATGCGATTGGATGAGCTGCAGGGTGGCCAGGGGAGAGGAGAGGCAAAGCGGAAGGGAAGCACAAAGGAGGCAGACAACGTCAGTAAAGGCTTGCAGCACCAAACGCAAGGCGCGCACCTGCACCGCCGGCGCCGCATCCGGGTACCTCTCGGAGCACATAATCTTGAGGCTGTAGATGCGATTCTCGTGCACGGTATGCCCTGGGCTGATAATGGCGCCGTTCCAGTTGCTCATCATGATGTCGTCCGAGTCTTCGAGGCCGTAGGAGCAGGAGCCGTCGCCGATGCCTTTTCGCCCTTTTCGAGGAGGCGGAAGTTGGGTGGGACTTGGGAGAGATGCAGCTGCAAGATCGTCTGCCTTGAGTGTGCTCAGCCACGTGTGCCTCGAGTTGTATTAGCATCCACTGAATGGAAAAGACTGGCCGCAGACGGGTTGAGGGATCTGGTCGAAACAGTATAGCTCTTGACGAGGTTGTGAGGCTGGTTTGTGGGGAGTTGCAAACAAAGACCAATTTAAATTATCCCGGGGCATAGGCTGCCGAGGAGCCGGTCTGATGAAAGAGTGATGCGACGTTGATATTGCGCAATACACGTCTTTTCCTCTGCCCTCTCGGGAGGCACCTTGTGTGCAGGCATAGTATAACACAATTATGCCTCCTGGATCTCCTGGTTCACAACACCACGAGATCCAGGGACAAACACCATTTTAGACACGGACTAGTGTTGGCAGGGTCCGGTTCAGAAATCGGTTCGAACCTGAACTGAACCGAACTGAACGCGGCGTTCAGGTTCAAGGTTCTGGCAATGGCCGAACCGAACGCGGAGTTCAGGTTCGGCGTTCGGGCTGGACTAGCCAGGTTCGAACCTAAATAGTCCAAAGTTGGGTCAATTTGTGCAGTTTCCATCATTTTTGGTGCCGGTTTCGACCCTCTTTCTCTTAAATACATACTCAAGGGACCCCCAGCTTGCCTTAAAGTTGGTGTACGATGACTTTGACACCTGTTGTGGTTCAATTTGGCGTGGGAAATCTTTCTGCTACTGTACTTTGTGATCTAACTATGAATTCAAAGGTCCAACAGCTGCTGTACGGTCTACTTACCAAGAAAGTGCCCCGAAAAAATATATAGGGACACTTCCGCGCCAAAATCTGCGTCCCCGAGAAGCCCGATTCTCGCTCGGGTTTGAACGCGTTCGAACGTCGAACCGAACCTGAACGCGGGTTCAGGTTCACGGTTCGACCAATGCCCGAGCCGAACGCGAGGTTCGAGTTCAGCGTTCGGGGGAAAGTGCCCCGAACCTGAACCGAACCGAACCTTGCCAGCACTAACACGGACTCAAAATTAATGCCGTCCCGCCCCGTCTGCGGCCGTCATTCTTACCGCCCGTCCCGCCGCTGAAGTTCAAACTCAAGAAAGACGGCCGCTAAAGGGACGGGCCGCCACCGTCTCGGGTGCGCGGATTTACGGCCGTCCCCGTCAACGGGACGGTGTTCATCCCTAGTTGTTTGATGCTATGCACAACGACATGCATGTCGTATTTTATGAGAGCAGCCTGAATAGTATTGCGGAGTTCGTCCATGGTGGTTGTGGAGGGCTGCGTGGCGGGATAGAATAGACGCAGTATCCTGTCAAGAAGGGCCCCCTCCTCGTCCACATCGATGACAGGGATAGCGGGAGAGGTTTCTGGCTGCGGTAGCTGGAATATCGTTTTGAAAACAGGGGAAGCCAATGAGAGAATCGCACGGTGAACGCAAAATTCTGCCACTATCTGGCGATCAAAGGATTGTCTCGGCCGGTGCATCATCGAACGGATATGTCGGGGAGAACGACACGCGAGGGGTGTCTGGGGCAGGGTCCGACATGGTGATGGTGTGTGGAGGGCACACACCTTACGTCTCCGGGTCAACTGCGCATACGGAAACCGTGAGTTATAACTAGAACGAAGATTAGGGTGTTTCATAATCAAAAATCCGACCCCAACTTCTGCCGCAACTTGTCAGAAGTTGAGGCAGAAGTTGGGGCATGAAATCGGAGTTGGGACTGAAATCGTGCGTTGCAGCATGACTTGACGTCCAACTTCTGCCCCAACTCCGTGCCCCAACTTCGGCTAATCTGTCATTTGGGCCTCGATCACGCCGCTCCGGATACACATCTCTGCCTCAAATCCGGAGTTGAGGCAGAGTTGCTGGCTCGGGTGTTTCACGAACAGACCTCCAACTTGTGCCTCAACTTGGGGCAAGTTGAGGCAGAGTTGAGGCAGAAATTTGGGCACAAGTTAGGGTCGGATTTCTAATTATGAAACACCCTATTCCTAGGTTCTAAAGACGTATCTGTCGAACTTCGGCGTTTCGCCGGTTTAACTTTTCCTTTATCTTTTTTAACCCTTTGTTCCTGCGGTCGGCAGCCAAATGTAGAAGTCAATGAGAGGACTGCTGTTCGCAGATAGACCGGGACTACGACGAGCGACAAGTTGACGTTCTGTAGTGATCAAAGAATGAGTGAGTGACAGAACAGGGTTTGTGGACGAGTGACAAGCGATCGAATACATCTCCTTCACTACACTTTGATGCCAATTCGCTCTATTGCCACATACACACCGTCTTTATTTTTTGACTCCTTACTCACCGGGTATCCATCAAAGAGTTCCCCCACCTCCACATGGCGCCGGGAAGCTGACGCGGCTTTCGCCCGACTTCCGTTTCCACACCCGTGAGGCGAACGCTGTCCACAAATACATGGTCAAGAACAACCGGGCGGCGGCCCGTGCTTGGCCCGTGCGTGATTGATCGGGACGGCACGCTCGGCAGCGCAACTCTCTCAGCTCTTAACCACCACCTTCAAACGACCCCTTCACCGCGATAGGCTCCATCGCAATTACGGCTTTTCCGCAACGTTCAATACTTACACTTGTAATCTCTTGAGCCCCCATCCCCCCGGCGGGGAACCCCTCAGCCATTCACATCTTTTCTCATTCTCGCCACAAGATGCTCCGCGACTTCTCTTGTCAACATTGGAATCAGGAACAGTCTCATCTCCGCATATCTTCCCAGTTCCCTGTTCTTCAATTGAGCTGGCGTCCCCTCTCATTCCCTATTTCCCCCTCGCATAACTGATGCACTGTGCGAATTTTTGGACACGTCACCACCTATCTTGGCTGTCCCCCCGATCTTTTGGCCGAATATTCGACCAAGCTACATGCGAAGACCAATCAATATTTGGGTGGGAACTCCTGCGATGCGGCGAGGTCAAAGAGGCGTACAAACAGCGAGGACTTCCCGGGCGACCGCACCCTGGACTGCAATTCGAAGCGCCATTGTGGCTCGACAGATTTTAGATTCAGTCCAGTCCAGTTCTATTCCCATTGCACTGGTCTCGCTCAATATTGACCACACGCCATCCCACGCGAATGATTCTGTCTTACTTTGACGCTAGGATCTTGGGAACTACTCGACGGTCGAATGGTGTATTGGCCGCTGACAAGACGACCAACTAAGAGTCTGGGGCAAGTTGGCGCCTCTGAACGGGGTGGGACTGCATCGTTCGATAGCCCTGAGAATTCGCAAATTTATGGCTTCGTATCTCTCGTTAGCTGCGCTGGTAATCATCAGTTTGGTAGATTCACTCCGTGTATTGTATCCGGTGAACCGCCCAACACACGGCAAAGTTCTCGGGTGTCCTTCGGCGACTCAGCTTGCACCTAATCATAAAATAACCCTTTGTCGCTGGTGCCCTCCCAACTGCGGGATCTGACGGTGTTGCAGGTCTATCGGTCCTTCGCTGTCACGGTCTTGATTACCTCTTCTTGATCTGCCGCCTTCGATACGACCAGACTGTCAATGTCACCCCGAAATTCTGGCAGATCTTCCACTCGCCCTGATCTTCCATCGCCGGTAAAGCCTGATATAAGCCGAGGCTATCCTACAGTGCACTCTCGATTCCACCCAACGATGAAGCACCTCACGGCGGATATGGCTGGTATGGTGGTGGCCAACCTCTTCTACGGCATCTACTTCAATTTGTTCTTGACCTCTACGCACCTCATTCGCCGGCGTGCCGTCGCGAACAAGAGCGCCTCAGTCTTTCGGTCCACCGCATTTGTTTCCAGCCTAATCCTTTTCGTATTCGTGACCATTGTAACGCAATTAATCCCGGCGAATCCCCGA